AAACACGCATAAAGATTAAACCAAAAAATATTCATACCTATTGCTCCTCGGCAGTAAAATCTGGCTCTGCTGGCTTCTGAAGCAGCATGGGTGGTACCCTCTCCGGCACTCTAGGCTTACGAGGACCATTGCGACGTATAGCACGAAGTACATTAGCGGCAAATCGTGAGGCGTAAATAGTGGCACCCAGACTTGGAGAATTTCCACCAGACTTCGCCAATGCATCTTTCAACCTATTTTCTTCTTCCCTAAGGGACTCTTCTAGTTTCTTTTTCGTGTACCGGCGCCACGCAGCTTGTATAAAGCAAGCTGCCCAAGTCCTCCATTGCTGAGAGTAAAACCTGAAAGTGTGTCGGAGCTGCTTACTGTGAAGCCTCCGAAATTGGGAGGCGACAAACTTCAAGTCATCAGCCATTAAAGCAAATGCTTCGACTTCAGTCAGTGCGCGGACCGTTCTAGTAGAGATAGGAAGATTGGATGATGAAAGGGGATCCAGAGCCCATGTAAGCAGCTCTTCACCACAGAAGTCACCAGCTTTGAGATATTCAGAGTTGAAGAACCCGGTTCTTCCCCCATTTGTGGTCATGGTCAAAAGCTGCCCTCGCATAATGAAGAGCATCTCATCAACCGGGTCTCCCTCACGAACAATGTGGCTTTCCTCTGTGTAGAGCACTGGCTTCAGGAGATCACACATTGCATCCAACAGTTGTTCATCCATTTTTTCAAACATCGGTACCTTGAATTAATCCAAAAAGCAAATATAAATAAGTTAATCTCGAATTGGCAGAAAAAGCTTAAATATTCATCACTCCATGCAAGAAAATGGAATAGAGGTAAAAATTATGTCGTGAAAATGTAGAAGAGCTTACTCTCATGAGAAGAGCCAGGCAAAGATGCCGCTTAATGTCCCTCCTGAGGTCCTTGGGGAGATTGCGTAGGAGGTTCTCCTCATCAACACCTCTAGTTTCTTGCCATCTGTATTGTTCATACCGTCGAATTCTCTCCCTTAGATTCTCAGGGAGCAGGCGATGAGCCATCCATTGCTGAGCGTCTTGCCTCTTTACTCTCATCTCCTCCAATCTAGTAGTTGTAGACTGCAGATACGTCTGTTTCAGAGAATCAAAGAACAATAGGTGTTTATGACATCCCGACAAGATTCATGCAAGTTCTTTAAAACCTAAAAATAAGCTCAATTTTTGTCTCTTCAAAATTAATTCCCTTCCTCAGCATGATGCATGTACCCTCTTGAAAAGAAGCCAGAAATAAAATAAATAACAATAATAGCAATTATAGTAATAATAATAATAATAATAATAATAAATAGTAATAATTTAGAAGAGAAAACAAAGGAAACATATTTTTATTTAACATTATGTGCCTGATGCTCATTTGGCCAGGAAAATCCTGAGCTCGAGATGTGCTAGCTCACGCTGCACACCAGGCATTTGAGATGGCTAAGGCCCGTGGTCATGATAGGACACAAAGTGCTTGACGCAGCAGCAAAGCAAAGCGCCTAAGCTGCAACGATGTACAACCCTCACAGCAGCAACACAAGGTGACAACAACCTAGTTTGACCTAGGTTTCCCACTGCCAGACCAGGTCTGGCCCGGTAGCTCTGGTTGCCAGCTACCTACTGCCAATTCTTGGCAGGGATTTAGTTTTGATTTTTTTTATTTCAATAATTTTGATAATTATATATAAAAGAAATTAAACTAGAATTCTATAGTTTTTTAACAATAATTTTTAAACATTTTGGCTATGTTTGGACAAGTCCAAAAATTTAGTGGAATTTATTTCATTTGCAACCCACATTTAGTTTTCACTAAGCTGAAACGTAAATTCTGTTAGAAAATAAAAAATTAATTCCACATAGAATTCCACATGTAATGGAAAAATGCATTCCAAACTCAATTAAATTTGACTGAATTTCGAATACATTATTCTAATTCCACATAAATTTTCATGAGGTCAATTTTTATCATTTTATGAACGAACTTTTTACCATTCCTAGTTGAACCATGGTTTGCAGATAAGTTCTAAATTTCTAAATCTACTCCAAACATTTCCTTAACAAGTAATAAAATATATAATTTTAGGGGTCCTGTAAATCTTTGTTTTAAGGGTAGTAAGGGTTTTGCCTATTTCTTACCCTTTCAAACCTAACATTAACTTCTTGAAAGAGGGGATGTTTGTAAGTTAGGTTAAATTATTCCTCTCTAACTTGACTATAATCTCACTGTCAAATTCAAAGTTCAAACCAAAAACTAATGGTACCCAAATTTGATTATAAACCGAGTCTCTTAACCAATTTATATACCATAAAGCTAAGCAAAGTGCGGAAAACTATGCATTTTCAACAAAAAAAAGTACAAAAATTATGCTGTGTCGCATCATTGTCCCATACCGCAAGCAGAATAATCATGTTTTGAATGTACTTTTCTGGGTTTCGCCTGGGGGGTTTGGGGGGGGGGGAGAGGAGGGAGGGAGAGAGAGAGAGAGAAACAGAGAGGGTGACACCTGCATGTTTCCTATTAGAAATGAAAACAACACCAACCCAGAGATGGAAATAGCGACTGCAAAGCAGATTTCCCAGAAAAAGGTACTTGTTTTAAGATTTTGACCAAGAGAACTGCAAAAAGAAGAATCATTTAGTTTTCTTCATCCATAGAAGTTAAACATAATGAGTAGAAAATCAGGAGATAACAAAATGTGCATTTCTCATTCAAGAAAAAGCATGACTATGCAATGATAATAAATACATTAAGAAACATGCATCATACAGTGAAAACAACAACACTGGGTCATAACAGCTGCTAAGGGCAACAGAACTAAAATTTTGTTAGCCTAAATGTTAAGATCCCAATTTGGAATCTTGTATGGGTCTGGTAGAATAAAAATCAGAAGCCATAAAAGATGAATACCTCTTCTATCTTCTTCCGTTATTTCTTTGGTTTTTAAGAATTTGATGAGCTCACTAAGAGAACCTAACAATCTCCATAAGTTTAAAAGAACTCAAGAACTCCTAAAATTATTTTCTGCATAATAGCCTTGTGAAGGCATACAACAGCACACAAATAACTGCATTGCAAACATAAACCTGACAGGCAAAGCATATAGCTCGGATGGCATGAGGCTCATTTACTGGAGATCAATTATTCGATTTCGAGTTCTAACTCATCAAATCTGAAAAAAGACCTAAATTTGACATAGCTGAGAGTAAGTCGCCACCTGAAAAACCAAAAACACCGAATGATAAACTAATATGTACAAACTGACATTTTTAAATTTATAATAAGTGCAAAAGGTGGAACCATTGCTTAATTTTAAAGGTTGGATTCAATATGACCTAAAATGCTCTCTGGTGATTGCAATCTCCACTAGTTCTTCAAAAACCAGAAAAGCTTCTGAGAAGGGTAACCAGGGGTAAACTTTTCATCATAATTAAAACAATGACCTTTTAGCTGCTGTTCTTAAACTTCTAGCTGATATAGCCATTTATCTTGCCTGTGATGAGAAAAAGTAGGACTGAGCCTCCCCTAGCATGGAAGACTTTGTTTTTTTTTTTCTTTGAAATAAAAAGTAAGACACTAAAGGGGTGCGACCCATATACAAATATTTATATCTCAGTAACTATATCTATGATATTTCCAAAATCATACCCCAAAATTAAATGTCATAACCCAAAATTAAACAGCCAAAAAATAGTGTAACCATCTATTTCTAACTTTATATATTTCACTGTTAATCCCCTCAAATGCTATATATTTACATATATACATTCCACCCTATATATTTACATCTGTCTCTAGCATGGAAGACTTTGTTGGATAAGGATCACCACAATATTCATGAAGTCTGGCCAAACTCATGGCATTTGGCAAATTAATTGGTTTGTGTAATTCCTCTTCTGTTGAATATAATCTTGAAGCCTGGTTAAGAAAATTTCAACCTCTTGATCTGGAGTGTTAGAACTTGCCCATGCTGTCAATTGTTCAAATTGACATTGCTATTTTCAACCAAACTGATCACGCTCAATTTCACTAGTTCTCTTAACTTGTTGCTTCGTATATGAGGCCCAAAGTGCACTGATGCTTAAAACCATCACATGAAACGGTTGGCCCATCTCTCTGCAATTCCAAAAACCACAACTAAGCAACTCCTTACCAAGTGGAATGATGGCAGTTCAAACTTTTTTTCTCCAGGTGTGTCTTGGTGTCTAAAGAAATGCTAAGCACTTATTTATCTATCTCTTTTTTTTTGGGATAAACCTATTTATCCATCTTAAACTATCTATCTTCCCATTATATTTGGGAAAATCCAACTAAATATATTTTGGGATAAAATGGGACTGCCACATGTTCCAGCCCCTGGACTTCTTTTATCTCAACCTTTCTCTACTAACGCTTCCTTCACCAACATCACCTCTGACTTCTGGACATCAGATAGATACATCGGCCCATAACTAATCTAGACAACCAGCCAATTTGTGGCGTTGTGTGCAAACACTTCCCTCTCTTGCTTCCGCTCAAGACTATCTTATGCCCTATCCTCCTGGTACAATTTAAGGAAAAACTAAAATGTTGTCGGAAAGATCATACATCAATAACAACAGATGGCTCTGCTATCAAATAGTTATGATCCCTACTTCGGGATCTTGTTCTGACTCACTATAAACTCATTAAGAGAAATTGCAACAATCTCCAAAAGTTCAAAAAAAAACACAATTCAGGAACTTCTAAATTATTTTCTGCATAAAAATCTTATTCAAACAGCAGTAGTCTTTCAAGGCTACAACAGTACACAAAACTGCATTTCAAACTGACATAACTGACGAGAAACTGCTATCTAGAGACCAGAAACACAGAAACAAACTGACATTTTCAAATTTAAAATAAAACTGAAGATAAGCAGATCTGATTAGGACAATCATCTGTTGAGGTAACACAATCAATATGTCAGAAATCAAAACCATTCAACTTGCCTGTCCTAACAACCATGGATAATTTCCTAATCAGCAAAAAAAAGAATCAATTAAGTAGGACTAAAGTTTTCAGCATAAATCACCTTAGGTTCAAATCATTGTCCACATACACTAAGAACCTACCCTATCCTGCCTCTCCAAAAAGGAAACAATCAAGCTATTTGTATCTGTGTGCAATTGTGTGCACAATGCATGAATAACATGTTCAAATTAGAGCCAGCTCACTGTAATTTTGGGTCTTCTAGGAAGCATACAACAACCGAAAAATACACATGAAAAAAAGCATGATATCCCAACTGACAAAGAAACATATTGCAAATCATCAATCCTGAATTTCTCATTATTTTTAAAAGGAATATCACATGTTCCAACCTCAGATTTTGCAGGCCCCACCAAAAGCAGTAAAAGAATTTCTGTGGGAAATCTGTTGATGTCACAACACCGGATTGAAGAGCGTCGAGGAATATTCCAAAATCAAAAAGTGTTGTATTTGGTGTCTGAATAGGACAGGATTTATTCAGAAACACGTTACTTCCTAAGTTACTATCACAGTAAAGAGCCTCAGGGGAACAGGTAGAATTCTTTCCACAGGCCTGTCTCCAGCATACTGTTTCTCTTTCGATAGAAAACAAGTACCAAAAGGCTCCAAGACCCTGTAAGAAAAGCTAATCAGTTCATAAAACAGAAAGACCTGCAAGAGAGACAATAATGACAATAAAAATTAACTTATAAGTTTTGTTTTTTTTTTTTCAGTGTTATGTGGAGGATGGCTCCTGATAATGGTGGGGAGTGGGTTCAAAACCACCTCCACCGGTTCCATGTAGGACATTATGTGACTTGAGCCTAGCAGGTTGCCAACATAACATCAAAAAGGCAAGAAAGAGTATATTACGTACAAATAAAAAGACTAACTAAACATGCCACATCAAATTTACAGCTCAAAAATGAACTCTTTAAAAGAAATAATCAAGAGTTTGAATGCTTCAGTCCGTTCTTCAGTGATCAAAGTGTTTTGCTTCTATATTTCATTACAGTGTCAATGATAACATTCAAAGAGGCATCATCATACTTTGGTATCTCTTCATAGTTCTTTCACGTTTAACCACCATCTATCCTCAATGACAAATGAAACCACTCTGCATAAGGGTTCTGGATTTTCCCACTTCCTGTTTTCACCTCTAATCAACAGTATGCATTGGTAGCTTGATTTGACTGGAAATCACTCCTTAGTAAAGCAAATTGGACTTGTTATTCAGTTTGACTGAAACATGTCCTCACATCTTTGATATGGAACCACATTCATCAATCACATGCATTGCAAATTTTCCGCATTAAACAGCTTTGTTTTTAATATGGTCTTTCCATCCCACATATACACCATATGGCTTCCTCTTTTATTTTTTTTTTTAAATAACTATATGACTTCTTCTTATAAAATATTCCATTTGCTCTTAGAAGATTTTATAGTTTCCTCTTAAAAGGATATCATATATACCAATTATCATTTGCGGAGCATCAACCTCTCAGAAGAAACAGCCAAAGAGCATATAGAGAGGCAACTGACATAAACCATGAAAAATGTAATGCAGCATTTGTATTTATACTATTTTTAGCTATCATACTTACATGACTGACAAGCATGTAAAGAAAGAGATTAAATGCAGCTCCAAGCCAAGCAGTCTCAGTCAGTATGCCCGAAGTCCTGGTTACTTCCTTGTATAATGGATATATTCTAATCAATCGAGGAATATATTGGAGGGTGATAACAAATTTCAACAAATTCTTCGTATTCAAGGGCTTTGAGCCTCCCAATTGAGGAATGACAATTAATATAACCACCTGAGCATTTGATAGCAGGTTAAAACTAACCCCATAACTTATAAGATGATGTTATTTAACAAAATTGACCTGTCATATTTCCTAAGGATAAAAAATCTGAAAAATGAAGTTTTAGAAGAGCAAAAAGTGTCAAAATAAGAAATTTTTAGTAAGAAGTATGAAGTGTTCCCATTTTTTTTTGCACTTGATAATAAAGGTTCTTATAGACATCATATTGGCATGGTAGGAAAAAACCAGCAAAGCAGAAAAGTTCCTCTACCTGGGGAAGTGGAAGAACCGCAAGAATATCAATAATGAAATACGAAGATAGATATCTCCTTGCTATTGCCCATGTGTCTTCAACTAATACACCTCTTCCAAATACTCGAGAAGAAATGAAGCCAGTACGAAACTGAAAAATTATGTGAAGTATATAAAAGATATCTGTGAACGAACGCAATACACTAGCTGTAATCTCCATCTTCTTGTCCAAGTCCAGGCACTTGTGTTCATCATTGACTATGGGGACATAGAGAAACAAAGGATCCAGTGATACTGCAATTACACATGCCAAAACAAATATCTTATTCCACCGTTGGAGGAATGGGCCCTGAGGATCAAGAATTTTCTTTGCAGAACCCAAGCCACGTGCAACAATGCTATTAAATGAGCAGGATTTCAAGGATTTCTTTATCCGTTTAATCCTTTCTGAACCAGATTCAATACTTCTTTGAAACTTTTCAGAGAAGGAGTTTATCATTGTCCTGATTCTCCCTGAATAGAATCCATTAGTAGCAGAATATTGTGCTTCAGGACTCTTCTCCGAGTTCCAATCCTGGAACCTGAAAAACATGTTATCTTCGATATTCAGATCATGACATTACTCTATGCTCAAATGAAGGAAAAACATCTTAAGAGCACGAAGCAATAGTAAGCAAAAGATGATAATGAAATTTTGCAACATACTTCTCCAAAGCACAGAAAGACTATATAAATTTGATCCATCACTTTCTACATGTGGATTGGCTTGTATCAATTTGTTAAAGAAAAAACATTTTAGATCATGGGAGATAACAATCATTCAGTAGCAGCAACATTAGTGGAGGTACTACATGCAAACAAATAGAAAGTTGTTTTTTCAGAGGCAGTAAGAGTTGCTAACTCGAATGTCTTGGTTATTCACCAAGAAAAACCCACTATGGGTGCAGTTGGTAACATCAATCTTGGATGGGTTGTCCATATTCCATAACAGGCAAGATAATTATATTGGGCCTAGTAATAAGTAGCATGGAAACAAGGACACTCATTGCATCAAGCTCGTAAGTATGAATTTCAAAAATGAAGAAAATGAATTTTCTGCTTTTGCTTAAGAAAGCAATACACTTGTTAAAGATTCAAGAATGTCTAAAAAGCATAGTCTGTACACTTCATTAAACAACTTATCAATCTGTTGAATGAATTTGCATGTTTTAAATGTTTTATTATTTGTAGCCTTATTAGTTAATTTGAATTACCTAATCCATAAGGATTTTATGCTGAACCTAATCTATAGGAATTCTTGACTGTCTTTTTGTTGTAATTTACTTATTTAAAGATTAGCTAATTGGCTGAAAATTCAGATCATAAAATTTATATCAGTATCAAATTTTCTTCTCCTCTCGCCTGAGTTTATTCTTATTTTACTCTCTTTTAGATCTAACACAAACTGAAACTATCACCAACATGGAAATAACTAAACATGAGAAATCAATGAAAAGGAACCAACCTCACAAACTTCTCCTGCCGGAAATTCATAACTATTGCTTTTTCACAATACTGTTGCTCGATGAACAACCGATCTTGGATAAAATAACAGAAGAAACTTCTTCAAGTACTCTCAAAGTTCTCAGTGCCGGATTTCAAGGGGGAAAAAAAGCAAAAAACTACAAGTTCATGTATTTTGGGTAAGAAGCTCTGGTGGCTTGACATGTTCATTGGCATCAAATCCAGGTGCAGGCCGTACACCAAAGGACATTATCTAGAACCAAAGCAACAAGAAAACGTAAGCCAGACCTGATAAGAGATAAAATACTCAATTTAACATACAACTTAGGAACAACCTAGAACGCAGTATACCATGTGTGCTAACTGATAGTGATTAAACACAATGAAAAGACTAAAAAGTTACATCTGGCGCATGTCTCCATTATTCCAAAAGTTACAGATATTCCACTAACATCGGCATCAAAAATATCTAAAATTGCAAAAAGCCACTACTTCTACAAACCAAAAATTAACAAACTTCCAATTAGAGAATAAATTAAAAGAAATTTTTGCGGGAAAATAGCAAACAAAAAAGGAATCAAGAAACATGCGTGACAAAGAAAAAATTGAATTATATCTCCTAAATTGTCCGGAATCAATTTTGCAACCATTTGATCAACAGAATCCAAAACTTCCTCCAGAAAATGACAATAACTTCATTTATTTCATTAAGAAAGTACGAAATAATGAAAACAAATATGAAATACAGAACAAAATACGTACATATAGCACAATCCGTAAGCAACAAAACCACAACAAACAAAACTTGAATTGAGAACCACATGGATATCTAACATATTTTACAGTGATTGAAGGAGAAAGAGAGAAGATAGAATACTAACAAAGAGCCTACAGCGAAGAAAATAAAAAGAAAAAGAGAAGCAAAGCTACCAAACATCCACCAGATGTTGAAGCAGAGGTCACCAAACAGACTGTAATCACGAGCGGGTACTTCTCTTCTGCTTGTAGAAGAGAGAGAAAGAGAGGGAGAGAGAAGCTTCGCAGAAACCTCCAGTCTCTCTCCAACAGGGACTGGGATCGTCTTCTTCAGTAATTATGTTTTGAAAAAAAATTTCTCACAATTTGGGCGAGAGAGAGAGAGAGAGAGAGAGAGGGAGAGAGTAGAGAGAGTCCAACAGGATACACCGGATGGGAAAATGAAAATCTTGTGCATTGGGTCCCACTGCGAAACTTTCATACAGAGTAAAGGTTTCTGATCGTTGCCTACGGTGCGATTCAGTCCGGTTGTTCCGGTCTAATAGCAATTGACCGCTGTCTGGAGTATTGTTCCGTTAAATTTAACGGTCAAACCAGAAATTTCCATTATGTGAGTGATTTATAATTATGAATAATTATATATTTACCAAACTAATTTTTATTATTAATATTTTACTATGCAAACAGTTAAATATTTAAAAAAAATAGATATCGAATATAAAATCTAATATTAATTTTGAAAACATATTTATATAAATACAAATAATTTCTTCGTCGTTACGTTTCAATATGAACCGGAGACGATTTCTTTTTTTCCACCCCGTGAGCACGGTAAGTGTCTGCCGTTTGTTCGGATGCAGAGCAAGTCAAAGAACCACAGAGATTCTCAACTTTCGTTGACTTCCCATTGTACTGTACGGTTAAGTTGTCGGCAAATTTTACAGGGCATCCCCATCTTCCACCAAACCCAACATTTATGATTTTTCTTTTTTAAGTCACGGTATTTTCAATAATTATTTTTATTAAATATTAAATAATTTTTTGTATAAAAATATTGTTAGCCAACAGTATTTTAATTGATTTTAGTATTTTTCGGCTTTTTTAAATTTTTTTATATTTTTAAGAAAATTTCAATTTACCTTATTAAAAAAAATAGAAATTAACTTTTTTCGTATTAATAAATAACCCACTTATTATTTTCTTAAATGGGAATTCTTACCAACAACCCACGTGAAGTCTCTACTTGGGTCAAAATCAATGTATGTCTACGTAGTAGGTATAGTTATTTAAGGATGCGGTTAATTTTATTATTATTTATTATTATTCCCACCTTGCCATCGAACGTTGCCAAACCAGGGAAGCGAGGGGAGGCTTGGTCAGAAGATAAACCAACTCGTTACAAATAATCAAACTCCAATGGCACTACTGATATATATATATATATATATATGTTCATGACCACCTGTATAAATATAAAATGGAGGCAATGGTAAAACAGTTTTTAATTAGGAATTTTATTGAATTTTATAATTTGTTTGTTCTTTTTCTGTATACATTGAAGTGAACCCAATATATATATTCATGAATTTACTTGTATGCATGTTATTATTATTTTTTATACAAAATAAATGAAAACTATGAACAACAAAGAGACAGGGACACAGCAAAACCTAGAAGTTACATATTATAAGGCCGTGAAACCCAAAGAGATCATCTTTCGTGAAGTTTATGAGCTCCGTAGATGAGTGACGCTGGATTGGATCCTTTTTTCTATCAAAACATCGGATTTCTGAATTCTCATAGGGGCTTTTTGGAATTTCCTTAAGAGCCTGTTGAATAATTTTTATGGATTTTGTTATTTTACTTATTCGCACTAAATAACGAGCTAATGAATCTCCTTCTTTTTGTCACTGGACTTCCTAATCAAATTCATTGTAACACTCAGAACGATCAACTTTACGAATATCCCTCTATCCCAGACGCACGTAGCATTGGTCCGGATAAACCCCAATTTATTGCTTCTTCTCCACTAATAATGCCTACTCCTTCAACTCGTTCTAAAAAAATAGGATTTCGTGTAATAAGTTTTTGATATTCAACAACCCCTATTAAAAAATAATCAGAAAAATTCAAGTATGAGTTATGAAACTAAAAAAATATTCAGTTAGCTAAATAGTTAGTACTACAGTTATACTCACAGTACACACCTGAATCTTAACATTTCAATCTTTCAATAATTAAGTCTTTATAACTAGAATCATGTTGGAATTAGTATTGATATAAATTAATTTTTTAAAATATGTTATTTAACAATATTAATACATGTTATAATTTATTCTTCTGTAATATTAGTTATGAATTTTATCTATTTAAGGTAAAGTGATAGACAAATTTTGAGTTATTAATTTTGCAACGAGAAATGCCAATACAATTTTTTGATTCAATTGTACTTAAAATATAAATAATACACTAACAGGCTCGTGTTACAGAGAACTTGTCGATATATTTTTTAACTGATATATCATACGAGCACTAAAAGATGTTTCATCCTACCTATATTATTACAGTTTAATAAATCTGCTACTTATTAAATATTTTATAATATACATCAAATAAGTACTCGATTTAATGATGTATTATTTAAATAAATACATTTACACTTGAAGGGGTTAGTTCTCGATTTAATCTACTTTTAAATATGACCGATAAAATTTGTTGTATTCGTTAGAAATAAAAATTACTAAAATTAAAATCAAATAGAATTTTAATTAACGAGACAAAATTAAATACCCCGTATTCACTTACATAACTTTATTTAACACAAACACTAAATTCCTCATATATTAAATTGGTGCAAGCTTAATTATTATTAACTCATTGATTGTGAATTACGAACTAAATAAAATTTTGTGTTGAATAAATAAAATTAATTCGTATTTACTTTTTCATAAATATATATATATATATATTGTTCGTCGGATTATAAACTTGTTGTCACATGAAATATGAGGGCAAATGATCCCTACCCACGATGCGTGAAAATAAATTATAGGAGAAAATAAGAAATGGTTATTGAATATTGAGTTAATTATAAGTAAGTTTTATTAATTTGAGAAAATTACAATTGAAATGCTGTATTTTGAGTAAATACTATAATTTAATACGATAAACTAATTATATGTGTTAAATTTATTACTAAGACATCGATTAATCTATTTTAAAACGATACACGTTAACTTTATGTAAAAATATATTAACTAAAACCAGTAAAAAATTTAATTGATTAAGTTTTTCTTATTGTAATTCTTCGAATTGTTTTATTGATCTTAAAGTGAGACACGAGTTTTTTATTTTTTACCTTAATTACAATTTATTTACTTAAATAATAGTAAATGCGTGCTTCCGAGTGTTCATGTGAAAATGTAACGCCCCGTTTT